AGGGGTTTATGTTTTTTCTGAGAACAACCCGTATGTTGGTCACCCTAATCCAATGCAGGAAGGACAGGAGCTCTTCCGCAAGGGCCTCTTAAGTGAAGCTGTTCTTGCTTTAGAGGCTGAAGTTTTGAAGAATCCTGATAATGCTGAAGGTTGGAGGTTGTTAGGCGTAACACATGCAGAAAATGATGATGACCAACAGGTGATATATCTCCTTTAAATGTTTAAACCTTTGTTATTAATTGGGATCATATTAAAATACACGATAGGCAACCCTGCACTTGAAACATATATGCACTGTCTTTTTTGTATCTTTTTATTCGATGAGTTTTGAATTTTGAATAGATCAATTTCTAAGAATTGTTTAACCAGCGAGTATTCTTGTAGCGTAGCGGTAAGCTCCCTAGTTGAGGGAGACACTGGCCAGGGTTGTTGGCACCAAAAACTCTGTTAGCGACCCAAAAAGTAGTAGCAGGGCGCCAGCCTGTGGCGCCTTTTGTTTGTTTTTGGGCCCTTGTACCAGGGTGAAGCTGGGGTTTGGGGGATTTTCTCGTCGGATTGGCTGAGGTTCCTTCTCAGAGTTAAAAAACATGGGGGAGGTCTTTACCCACCAGCTGAGTTTTTAAAGAATTGTTTAACCAAATCAGAGAGGCAAAAGACAGACTGAATTTGTTTGTTTATAGTTGTCCGGGGTAATTGCTTAGGGTGAAGCTGGGGTTTGGGGGATTTTCTCGGTCGGATTGGCTGAGGTTCCTTCTCAAAGTAAAAAAAAAAAACATGGGGGAGGTCTTTACCCACCAGCTGAATTTTTAAAGAATTGTTTAACCAAATCAGAGAGGCAAAAGACAGACTGAATTTGTTTGTTTATAGTTGTCCTGCATGCAGAATGCTTTTCATGAGGAATATGTGAACCATGCTTCATTGCAGTTCTGTGTAAATTGCAATAATTACACACATGATATGCATGTAGCTCAGTTTATAATCTGTCAGGAAAATGTACTTCTGTTGTTAAACTTTAGCATGGTAAACTATTGTTCTATGACCTAGGGGTTCCATGCTTCTGCTTTTAATGAAGCTGATTTTTGTCTATTTTTTTGCTTTGAATTCAGGCCATTGCAGCAATGATGCGTACGTTGGAAGCTAATCCGACAAACCTTGAAGTTCTTCTTGCTCTTGGTGTTAGTCACACAAATGGTTAGTGCTTGGAATTGTGGGAGTAATTTGACACCCTGCCTAATCTGCTCTAGCACTCTTTGAGATAATCTAGTGACACGTGATTTGGAAGTAATCTTATTTCTGCACTGATGTGGAGCTATTTCACTAGGAACAGTGAACAACTAAACAAAACTTATTAAAATGATTCATGTTTGAGGGAAAACATGTCTATTTCCTTTTCTATGTTCAAAGAACAGAAAACTTTTCTATGCTCCTCCAAGCTTTATGTCAAATAATGGAATAGCAATTATGCAATATAACATTCTGAAATTTAGTTCAAGTAGAAGATTAATCAAAATACCAAATTATTTGTTATCTTGAAAGGGTTTAATTCTTCTAGCAATTGATGCAGAATTGGAGCAGGGAGAAGCGTTAAGGTATCTTTATAGGTGGCTTCAGAATCATCCAAAATATGGTGGCCTTGTCCCTCCGCAGTCAACTGATTCACCTTATGGTCCTGATGTAAGTACACGACTGCATGCTACTTTAAGTGTGTATGTTTCAGTTTACTCTTTTAACTTATTGCACTCTGGCATCTTCAGATTTCAGATGGGTATCAAGATTAGATGTTTTTAGCTGTAGTCGTGTCCTTTTTGCCCATTTCTAATATCTTTCAACATATTAATTTCTCTAAATAGTTTCATTCTGCCATACTAAATGTTTGTCTCATCAGGTTGTTAGATTGTTTAATGAAGCTTCTCAGATGTCACCTGAAGATGCAGATGTTCATATAGTTCTGGGAGTCTTATACAACCTATCAAGAGAGTATGATAAAGCTATAGCTTCATTTAAGACAGCACTACAGCTCAAACCACAGGACTATTCACTCTGGAACAAGCTTGGTGCTACCCAAGCAAACAGCATCCAGAGTGCTGATGCAATATTGGCGTATCAGCAGGTAATTAGCTCAGAAACATGTTTAATGTTTTAACATTGGTCTTTTTGCCCACACAACTAGCTGAATTTGTATATATTCCTGTTTATATCGTGTCTGATGCCTTAAATGAACTGCTGATCCGGTATTTTGTTGGTCTTTGACTATTCATTTTGAAGGAATGTAAACAAGATTTCAGCATGCTGGTGTAATAAAACTTGTTTGTGTATTTGAAATCTGGAACTAATCACAATATGTTCTGTTTTCAGGCTCTAGACTTGAAACCCAACTATGTGCGTGCATGGGCGAATATGGGAATCAGCTATGCCAACCAGGTAATTCTTTTTTAATAGAATGTCATCGTCTGTGCAATTGGTTCTTTAAGAATACCACGCTTCCTGCTATGTGAAATGAGAGACAATATTTTGGTTTTGATCATCTTAGTTTCTCAACAGTACAACACTAGCATAAATGTTGATGGAACTATGTATTTTTGTGAACTGGTACTTTTGCATGCATGGCAATTGGCAACAGGTATAACCAACACATGACCTGATAACCCCTATTGATGCAACTTCTTCTATGTTGCTTATGCAGGGTTTGTACGAGGATTCCATTCGATACTATGTAAGGGCAGTTGCAATGAACCCTAAAGCTGACAACGCCTGGCAATACTTGAGGATTTCTCTTAGGTATTCCTTGTGCGATTGATTTACCTACATGTGGACCTTGAAACAGGCAGCACTGATTTTAGTTAACTAATATGCCCCACCCATTTTGAACCAGCAATGCTTCACGAGCTGACATGATTGCTGCATGCGACGCCCGCAACCTTGACGCTCTTCAGAAAGAGTTTCCTCTGTGAGTCCTCCCTCCCAAGACATTAGCTATCCAGCAGAGATCTTCATCCATGGGAGGAAGCAGCACACTAGCAAGACACATGATAATGGTATCATTGGCTGCACTCATGATCATGGAAATGGACTTGGAAACCAGTAGCATCTTGTATTTGCCTGTTGATTCTTCCATTTATTTTGTTGTGTGGGGATGTATAGGGAGTAGGGAAACAACATCCAGATCCAGTTGATGTGAAGTATCATGGCAAAAGGCACTAGTGGCAAAGGAGAGACTATACATCTGTAAGTACACACTTACGGGAGGCACGACAGGAATAAAAAGAATGATTGAATAATAAATTGTTTATTTTGGGGACGAACCCCCTGCTTGTTCAATGAAGTAATAAGAAATTGTTCAATGAAGTAATAAGAAATGCAATATTGGTGCTTCTTGGTGGTGCGCCAGTGAGCTGTTACAGGTATGTCATGTTTTGCACGAACGGGCAATACCAAATACTAATGCGTGAATGAAAGCCCGTTTTGCAACCTTTTTCCATCACGGTATTGCTAGCATTAAGATGTCCGGGCTCGCCTAAAAAACAAAGGCCCTTTTCACTTGAACTTATCGGCCCGTACCATTTCAGTAAAATAATAATATTTTTTTCTCTCACAATAAATTAGCATCAGCCGTTTTTCCAACCAGCCGAACAGGGCTAAAATCAACTCCTGTACGCCTCGCTCCGCTCTCGCCCTTACCCCTTCCGCGCTCCTCATCCCCTGCCGCAGCGCACCAACACCCGACGTCCTCCCTCACCAGAAGTCTCCAACGTTCGCAGATCCAGCGGCCCTCTCCCCCACCCTGGTGAGATCCATGGAACAGGAGCAAGGTCCACTCACCTCCAGCGAGACCCATGGAGGTGGCGCGGCGGTGTTGCATGGAGTGGGAGGCTCTCCTTCACCCCAGCGCGCTGCCCTCCCACACCCCCCCCCGGCGGCGCCCTCTGCGACCCCGGCGACCGAGCTCCTCCCACCCCGGCAGCCATGGCGCTCCTCGCCCTCCATCCCCCCACCGTCGCCGCCGCCGGCTCCGACCCCGACGGCCGGAATCGACCGGCTCAGGCTTCTCCTCTATGTTGCAAATATATATTTCAGGTGTTTCAGTCGTTTCAAAGGTATGTTGCAGTTGTTTCTTATGGATGTTGCAAAAGTAGATCGGGGATATTGCAAATGTTGCAAGTGTTTCAGAAGTATGTTGCAAGCATTTGTTCAAAATATTTCATCTGTTTTCAGACGTATGTTGCAATCTTTTTTTATTTCAATGTTGCATATGTTTTCACACATGTTGCAACATTATGTTCTAAATATTTCAGTCTTATGTTGCAGTAAGTGTTTTTTTTATATTGCAATTGTTTATCTGGATGTTGTATATGTTTCATACATATGTTGCAAGCGCATATCCTGAATATTTGATTCGTTTTTTCAAATGTACGAGTGTTTCATGATGTAAATGTAATGCGCACGCGCAAAGCAATTCTGTCTAAGAAAAGAAGATGGAACTTTTGTGCCTACTTGACAAAATGATCTGCAACTAAAACAGACGCAGTAGTTTTTTTAGAACTAAAAGATTATAGGCGCTATGAAACATATAAAACTGAAAAAGGGAGAAATGCAAAGATTGGGATAGCCATTACAGAGGGATGTATATAGGACTACAGGAGTGGACTGAACCAAAAGGACGTTTTTAAGCTTTCAAACAGAGTTCAACGAGCTGAGCCAAAATTAATTTCCATGATCCACGTCATGGGGTCCCGGAATGTTGGCCCGTCAATGAAAAGGCAGAGATTGACCCATATATATATAAGATTTTTTTTACAGTGCCAACCCTGAAGAACGTCAGCAAGATCAAATCTGAGGCAATCATTCTTATGGGCGGTTTAAGCCAAATTCTGTATCAAAATTGTAGATAAAATTACTGTTACTGAAAGAAGACAGCTGTTTTACATAGATCTCGACTTTCACGTACAATACTTAGACGGCAAGACGAGTCAAGCAAACAACAAAACAGTACAGCAGGAAATTCACCGCCTGAAGGCATTGCCCTCGGCATCACGGCCACCCTGCGAGTAAAAAGCGCGGCGCCTGATGCTCTCTTCAATTGTGGCACTGCCACCCTTATCTGTTCCAAATATGCTCTTCTTTTCATCTTCCAAGAAGTTCTTCCCTTTGAACTGGTTCGCATTCACAGTTGCTGCCTCTTTAGAATCATCGTCAGCAGCTTTCTTGAGCCTCTTCCACCTCTGCTCCTCATGGACCTCAGCATCAGCCTCCATCTGGCGCAGCCGAGCTAACCTCTCCTCTTCTGACATATGGTGGACACCACCCCGTCGACGGTTGAATGACGGACCATTGTTCCTGCCATGTCCGCTTTCTTGCCTCGTCTGCTCGCCAGAGCCTTGTTCAGAGCGGAACGGTGTTCAGAAGTGGAATTCCCAGTTTTGTGGCCATCACCCACTCTTTTGGGCCTAGAGTCTGGACCATCATGCTTTGAGTTTGAATGATGGCGGTCTGGAGGTGAATGATGTCTCCTTTTCATATCATCAGCATCAGAGCGATCATATCTTGGACGGTCAACATAGCTTCTTTCCCTTGGTTTCTCATCATCCTGCCATCTTCCTCTTGGTTCATCATCGTCTTGCCGTCTTCCCCTTGGTTCATCGTCGTCCTGCCGTCTTCTCCTTGGTTCATCGTTGTCCTGCCGTCTACTCCTTGGTTCACCGTCGTCCTGCCGTCTACTCCTTGGTTCACCGTCGTCCTGCTGTCTTCCCCTTGGTTCACCGTCGTCCTGCCGTCTTCTCCTTGGTTCATTGTCGTCCTGCAGTCGTCTCCTTGGTTCACCATCATCCTGCCGTCTTCTCCTTGGTTCATCCTCGTCATGCCGTCTTCTCCTCGGTTCATCGTCTTCTGATACATCGTGCTTTCTTCTCTGTGGTTCATCATTGTCTGAATCTGATGAATCTTCTCTGTGCTGCTTCTTATGCCTGGACCTGTTCTCTTCTTTCTTATGGTCAAGAGAAGAATGAGCTCTCTTCCTTCTCTCGTCCTTGCCATCACTTATTTCATCTGAATCCGAATTCTCATCTGAGTGATGCCTCTTACTCTTTGACTTATGGTGGCAATGCTTCTTGTGCTTTTTCTTCTCTTTCTTCTCTTCTTTTTGCTTTTTTTCAGCTTCAACCTACACAAGAGCAAGATTGTGTCAGGGAGCGTGTTCAAAATGAAAATGCTTTAAGAATGGATGCTGAGCTTTACAAAAAACAGATTCCCTAAAACCAAATTCAGCAAACTACACAAATGTTACTTGGATCAGTGTTATATGGACTTGCGAGTCCAAAATTTGTTTGCTGTAACATTACGTATCCCCGCGTGGACATGCACCAGATTTGTCTCTGGCAAGTCCAAGTGGCTAAGTAGGGAGGGGAGATCAAGCAGAGAGCCTAGGAAAGAGCCAGCATAGGAGAAGGGCACTGGAGAGATGAGGCAGGCACAGGCAACTAATTTTGCTAACCAGAGGTGCAAAGAGGCTGCACCCACCAAGAGAGCAATGGGAAGAAATGGAATCAGTTACTTGTTCTGTGTTATGTTGTTAATTAGCTGCCTGCTCTGCCCCAAAAGATTTAAATTGACTTTACAGATTTTTAAAAAAAAAATACATATGTGCTAGAAATCCTCTAGTCCTATTTCCGAGTTTGCTGAATCATGCACCCGAACCCAAGGCTGACTCCTACACTCAAACTTGTGTCTACTGCCAAGTAATTTGCGAATAACTAAAATTTATTTTCACAAAGTTAGAAATTTGAGGGTTTTAAAAAAAAAACGATTACTAATTACTTGTAAAAAAAAAAGGGCTTTGGGTATCCACCTTCTTGACAAACCAATATAGTATCCTCCGCCTCCCTTGCATTCAACAAATCTCACCTATCAAAGGTTACTACGATTGTTTTCTGGAAACTTATTTATGAACTTGTGATCCCAAACCAACAATTACAAACCATCTGTCAATAAGTTTGACTCTAGTTAAGCTACTCAAAAGCCTAGATTCCACATTATAAAAGGAAAGGAGAACTTACAGATTTCTTTATCTCGGCCATCTTGATTGGATTGTTTTTAATCCTTGCAATTGCATCCTGCTCCCGCTGCCTTATTAGGAGTAGAGGATCAGAGTGGAGCTTTCTCCATGTATCATTTGCAGATTGGGGTTTATCCTCAAATAAAGCTCCTGGTGTAGCTGCCTGAAACGTGCAAAAGAAAATGAAGAAATGTGACTATTAGATCATATTTTCACCATGATAGCAATTCAAAAACAGGAAATCAGTAGAAGTGTAACTCAAGGTAAAAATCAAGTTTAAACAAGAAACTGAGTGAAACCTTGAAACCATGGTCATGTTGCTTAACACAAATAACTGTTGTTAGCATGCAAGTTTAGTGAATGTAACCCAGTGTTCAGTTCAAGGATTCACTACTAGGAGGCCACATCTGTGCTGCATCTCTATCACTTAATTCTGTAGATATGTTTAATAAAAGAAGTGATGCAATGCAACAAAAACACTATTAAAACTGCATATTCCATGATATTTTCTTAAAAGACTTAAATACTACAGACGCAAAATAAATCGTTCTGAGTGCGCATAACATGCAATATAGTATGAAATAAGCTAACAATATTCTACCACAACAACCACCCGACAGCAATAATCAGGCATTACTCTTATTTATCTTGATGTTTCTTACTCAATATATCATTGGCAAGAACACACTTTATCTGTTCCCGCTTTGAATTACACTGAATTCAGCTGATCCGCACACGCAGATGAACTACAATCAATGTTGAGGCAGGAATAAGTACCTTGGAAGAATCAGCCGCACTCGCCTGTGCAGAAGTGGACGCAGCAGATGCCCCCGGTGCAGATTGTTGCAGCGCCTGGAACCCTTCGGAGCTCTTGCCGACGGCCAACCCCGACTCGTAGAGGAAGTCCAGCCTCTCCTGCGCCCTGTACCAGCCATCGCGCGATTAGCACATCAGACGAAGCCAGAAATGGCCCGAACCCCATCGAATCGAAGCGAAACCCTAGCCGGACGGACCGACCGCCCTATCAGATCCAACCGAACGAAAGAGAGAAGGATGAAAGGAAAAAAAAATCACTTACGGCCTGAGGCCGGCGCGCTCCTGCATGGCCCGGAACTCGGCCTTCTCCTTCTCGGCGGCGACCTGCTTCTTGAGCTCCTCCGTCTTGCGGCGCTCCGCCTCCTCCGCCTGCTCCGCCTTCCATACCCGCTCGATGTTGCGGAGGGACCCCGTGTGCCACCCCTTCTTGTTCAGGAACTTGAGCGCCATGGCTGGTGCCCCGCCTCTGCCCCTCCCACTGGAAACCCTAACCCTAACCCTAGCGGCGGGCTGGCCTCCCTCCTTCCTCCCTGGAGACCGGAAAGAGGGAGACGAGACGAGACGACGCGGTAGCGAGAAGAGATGGTGAGAATTGAGATCGGGACGGGAGGCCAGAGCCGCCGCCTCGGCCACGACTTGTTTTTGTGTGGGGGCCCGACCCACCACCTCACCTCATACAAGTATACGCCTTTCACGAAAGAAAGCGTATCCGGTTTTGGGGGGCAAAAATTCTTTTGATCCGCAACAGCTATTCACAAAGTCCCACCAAAACCGATTTTTTGCCCACCTCAAACTTTGAAAACCGCTTGTTTAGTTGTTTTCACACCTACTAAGAGTATACGTCAATTTCATCGTGAATAATGTAACGCCACATTAAATAAAACTACCGTACAAGTCTGCTCGGAGTGCAAGAACAAAATGATTAACACTAGAGAAGGATCAAAATCCAGTTTTATATATGAGCTTTATACGGAGCATGATCAATGTAGCTAGAAGCGGTAGTGGATACAGTCACAACACAACAGTCTTCTACAGTATCTGAAGTTCATAAGTTGCAGCGGCAACTGCAGTGAACATGCTACATGTTTTTTTCTTTTCTTTTTTTTTTTTAAAAATATTTGAGGGATCTAAGAGCAACTCCAGCAATGCCCACAAAACAAAGCTCTCACTTTTTACTTGAGAGCTCTCTCTACTTTTGAGGGCCCTGTTTCACTGCACTTCGGTAGGATCTCACAAAATAGTGTCCTCAAATTCATTCTAATAGAGAATAACATGTATAACCCACTTGTCATCCTCTTTCATATCTTCTTCTTCTTGTTGTATCTTCTCTCCATTGACGAACACGGCCATGCTAAACGCAGGTGAAAAGGGTTCCGACATGAAGGGATATGCCTCGCAACTCCGAATGGGAGAGGCACAACCAAGGAGAGGCTCCGGCGGGGAGAGTCATCACCTGGGATGTCGATGGGGAGGGGAAGGAGTTGGGGGGCGCAACCTCTCTGGTATCGGCCTACTCGGGCGACGCGCAGACGGGGAGGGGTGGTGTCGGGGTTGCCACATTGTTTGCCTGCTTGGGGGAAGCGAGGCGACGCGCGTGAACTGATAGGGGAAGCGGGGCGGCACGCAGACAGGAGAAGGAAGCATGCAAACCGAAACTACCAAAAAGGGTGATTCGAGAGTTTGGTCCAGGGCCTCTAGGAATGAGGGGTGGGAGGGTGGTTTGAAGCCCTCTCAATTTTGAGAACCCTAGTGAGGGCCCTATTGAAGTGTAGTTTTTAGCTCTGAATAGTAAAAAATAAGATGAGTGTTTAAGTAGAGGAATGCTGGAGTTGCTCTAAAGTACTTGTTTCAGGGTTGGTTGTGGTTACATAGCTGGTTGTCTCGGGCCGGCTGCTATGGTTATTGGGCCGAACAAGCACACCTATCTTTCTATTGGCCCATCTGTAATTGGGCTTTTCTCTAAGAACATTTGAGAGCTAAAGCTCATTTCTTTTTTATGTGATATATAAACGCCCTTAAAATTCGAAGACGATGATACAACAATCAAGACTGACAGCAAAAACAATGTCTTGAGAATAATCCGCATTTCACAGGCAAACTACAAACTAAATAAGATGAACAAAACGGTGACCTAATAATACAAATATAGTACTGGATTTGTCTTTGTTTAAAACTTTTAATACAGTCTCGGGCGGCAGGCGAGCATCCCATCCAACGTCAGGAGGTACTGCATGTTCTACAAAAGAAGCTTCTCACAAAACAAAAACTTTCTTATGCACAAACGGACACAGAGAAGTCGAAGCATGGAACACCTTCCTGGCAAAAGGCACAATAATGAACAAACAATCTGGAACGCCCATGCCTGCCGTCAAAACAATCTGAGGAAGCCTAAAAATCAGCTAGAACGAATTCCCAGAGACTGAAGGATTTTACACGCGCCTGGCCGAAAAATGCCAGTACTGGGTTGAGCCGCGCCTCTGCAAGAACCCCCACCTCAACTCGGTGAAGAATTCTAGGGGAGCTTCCTCACCGCCGCTTCCTCCAGCTGGTCGATCTCTTGTCGCCAGACAGTATTCTGGGGAGGTTCAGGAGGGAATTCACCCGCGTCACGCCTTCGAGCGCGGACCATTCCTCTTCCTCATTTGTCGATATGCAATCTGCCAGGCTGCGAGCAGACCCGCACCTTTCAGACTCCTTCAAGATGGGCGGTTCGTCGACCGGTACAATCTCATCGACCTCCCTTAATGTGGTGGAGTGTTGCAATGTGGCCTCCGCACTGTGCTCTGCACTGGATACATGTACACTAGCATCTGCAATCTCTTCATCGACCTCTGCACTGGCATCCTGTGTGGAAACCTCCTCCCCGGTGGGTTCTGCTGTCTCCACACTGGGTTCACTCTCTTGAACCGAGTCAGCTGACTTCTCATGATCCAAGAATAAGCAGACAACAGCACAGTCATCACTCTTGGATGTTGGGAACTTCAACCTCCACGATCTGACAGCACAGTCAACAAGAGCCCTGGCTGCCGTTGCCCGAGATGGGGCTGATGCTACAATGTCAACAGCCTCCTTATTTGAGAGAACGTCCCATACCTACATGCATTGAGCTTTACGATTATGAGAAAGTTGATGCAGATCTGTGAAGGTGCTAAAAAGATAGCTACTCCAAGCAGGGACTGCAAATTAAAGACATGATGTATTGGCTGATGAGTTCCTAGATCGAGCAGTATTTTAAGTAAGAATCTAAGATGATTAGCATACCCCATCGGTGGCTAGTATTATAAATTCATCCTTTTCGGTAAGACGGCGATACGATATCTCTGGAACAGATATTAAACCATAATCTTTAAGGCAGAAGTCTCCGAAAGCTCTTGCCATTGCCAATCCAGGAGAGTCGTTATTTGGCAACCATACTCTGGCAACTTCTGGCTCATCCTGAAGAGCAAAAACTCGTCCTTTACATTGTTGTATCCTCGCAGCTTCCCCTTGAAAAGAAGAAATAAAGATTAAATATTTCGACAACCCAAAGGAAACATCAATCTGGACAAGCATCTTATTCGCATCATAGTTCGATCAAAGGCACCTCGAGGACAGAAAGGAAACAAATATCAAATATGCAGATTACGACGGTCTTCAGGGCCAATGAAATGATCAAAGTGAGAATTGAACGTACTGGGAAGGTTAGGCTTCAAATCAACTGTGAGTTGCAGAGCGGTTAGATTGTTAGAGGCGTCTCTTGTCCCCATAATTGCTCTTGAGTCCCCAAGATTTCCAATTACAAGGTCCAATCCCTAACAAAAACATGTCCAGCTCATTCAGTAATTTAGTTGTACTTCTACCACTTTTCTCAAAAGCTTCAGTATGTGCAAACGCCAAGGCAAGTTTTGAAGTATCAATCACCTGTTTCACCAATGTTACTGCTGTAGATCCACTGCAGAAACAGTCAACTGTGGGATGCAGCTTGAGTTCCTTGTCCATCAATTTGAAAGCTTTTAGGTAAGATTTCTTAAGTGGAAGAAACGTCTCAGGAAGCTTTTCAGTGTCATCACCATCACCCCATTCATCATCAACAATAGAACCTGTTTCTTCGGAGTTGATACTTTCAGAGATGCTTCCATTTTGATGAGGACTAGAGCCCCCATTAGCACTAGTTTGCCATTGTGTGCGCAACTTGGCAGGAAGTGAATCTCTAACTTTCTTGGCAACAAAATGACCGTAAGGCCCATGGCCATCAAACACACCACAGAAGATGCTGTCACTTGAATTAAAACTCTGCAGTGACAAATAAAAAAAAACAATTTCATACAATAGTCAAGTAATAGCATTTATTGCCCTATAAATTTGGCCTTGTTTAGTTGGTGAATTTTTTTGGGAAACGGTACTGTAGCACTTTCGTTGTTATTTGGCAATTAGTGTCCAATCATACTCTAATTAGGCTTAAAAGATTCGTCTCGTGAATTTCATCTAAACTGTGTAATTAGTTTTATTTTTTATTTATATTTAATGCTTCATGCATGCGTCCAAAGATTCGATGTGACGGGGAATCTTGAAAAATTTTGCAAAATTTTGGGAACTAAACAGGCACTTTGTATCCAATAGTCCAATCAGGTAGTAATGTCAGCGAAAAGTAGATAGGCTGATTGACAGGGTTTCAACAGACTCTGCTGGTTGCATTTTATTTGTCCACTAGTTGCAGTATTAAAAGAAAAATATCAACAAAGATTACTATGGAGAAAATCAGTAGGTAAGCAAAGAAAAAGGTGGAAAAAAACTATCACATGGACACCCAATCATCCATGGAACAGAACTAGCAAACTTAGGAATGATGACACACGACAATATAAAGTGAGTAGGCCTGTTTCACACTGCAACTGGCTATCTTTGAACTATGAAATATTCCTACACTACATTAAGAAAAATCCTATCAGCAGGCAAATCGATCTGCAACACTGTCACGTGAATAATGTAAAATGTTCAAAGATCAATAGAAAAATATGAACTCTGGTACACAATGGACATTATACATAAAACAAAAAATGAGAAATCTTATTGAAGAGTAAAACTGAAACCTCAAGATGGAAACAAAAGCCCATCACCCAATTCTAAGTTCCAACAAAACTAAAAAAAGAAAAGAAAAGGAAGTACCTCATTCTAATTAAGGAAGTACCTATTTGCCTTGATTATTAGCTATCGATAGCACCATTCTGAGAATCTATAGGCATAAAGTCTTTTTATTGTCTCCTGAAGAACATGATTCGCAATGCAACTTAGAGAGAGGCTGCCTTTACTTCTTTGACTTGTGCTAAACTAAAGTGTACAAATATTCTTTAATACTCACAAGACAGCAACCTTACATACGTTAGCAAGGTCTAAAAATTGTGTGAGGCCATCCATAGGTCAATTTCACGCTCTCTCACTGCTATACTCAACTTATGAGATAAGGATCACAA